TTAGTGTTAGGCAGTCGATAAAGTCATTTGAAAACTTAAAACACACAAACGAAGATCGACACCAGTTTATGTTTACAAACGTAGTTACACCGCCAAAACACCTCTTTTTATTGTTCGATCGATCCTGACGATAAATTTTAAAATCACGTAGTGATACAAGGCAGTCATCTTGTAAGTCATTCAACCACGATTCTTGAATTGTGATGACACCACAATTACGATACGTATTTTGACTAAGTAGGAATTGTTGATTAGTGATCGGCAATTAGAATTTAGTAGCTCGTGAATTGACATACGATTAATGTTCATTCTCTTTAACACATATTGCCAACCACCACGATACCTTTTATAGTACTTTTTCGTAACTTGTACAGCGAAAGGTCGTAGGCTTTTCATAAAAGCGCCTGAATAGGTTATGCGATTAATGAACATAATTATAAATTAAAACAAATGAAAACAGATAACTTGTTGAAATAATCAGATGGCAGAAACAGGTAGCCTAGATATTCAAGCAGGCCGCCCTAATGGTAATTCAATTAATTGTTAAGATTCGTATGTTAGTTAAACGGGAAAATAATATTTAAAACCATAAATATCAAATTATGTATAGGCTATAAGGGATGAACTTGCATTCTTTAACAGCGAAGTAATTTGGCTTACATAAGTTCTAATCTCGTTATAGATTTTAAATTCCTTAAACTTCAGAATTTGTTGATGATAAACTTGAAGATCAAGGTACATCTATATATGGGTTTCTTATGTTAAATTTCTTTTAGGTTTAAATCTTCTACTCAAAACTGGTCTAAATCATTCCTAATCCTTAATATATTAAATAAAACATCTGATCCTCTTAAGCAATTTTATTATCTCGGATGTCTTTTTTAAGATTGACAAAATCATTAACCCACCAATTGGTGATTATACTGTTATGAACGAAAACTCAGGTGCGGAAAACCAATCTTTTGTTTAAGGCAAAATTATGCAACGGCTTTGTAAAATATGAAAATCATGTATTAGATACATCATTTGTACATCCTCATTGAGTTGTTCCGTATATATTTTATTATTTCTCTAATTTTGTTGTTATTTTTATTCCTATCCGATTTCCTTTCTGTTATCGTCAATTGAATTTTCTGCTACCAGACATTCCACTTCCGATAGATGATACATACTACTTATATCTGTCAGTGTAGGTAGCATACATCACAATACTATTCACTAGTTTGCTTTATATCCCTCTACGACAGTGAAATATGGTTTAAAAGTTAAGGGACAAAAGTATGTTGTTGGTGGTTGATCATAGATTTATTAAAATCATTGTCGGTGTGTTTGACCCGTCATTGAGTAGTGGTAAGGTTGGGTTTAAGGAATTAATTAAAGATAGTAAATTTGTTAACAATGTTGTAATCCTTTTTCGATTGAAATGCTTCAAAAGAGTATTACATACCCCAACTCATTATCTACGTTGAAGCCGTATCCTGATCAGTAAACGGATAAAGTATTAATATCTATTAATTCACCCTACATCTTTTAAGAAAATCTTGAGACTCTTTCAACTGTCAACTCCTATTGTTACAGAGAATCATAACCTCTGTGTGTAAAGTAGAACAGTTAAAATGACGAACAACATAACTAATGAATCTTTATTTTAAAATCGAATACTTTTATAAAAAACTAATGTTTGTGTAGAAGAATTGTGAAATCTGTTGTATTTTCTAGTTTAAAACCTCGAACAGCCAATATTTTTACAATCACTTCAAACTAGGAAGCAATAGACATCTGTTTCAACCTCATGTGGAACTTTCCCCAGAGAGCATCCGCGAACTCACTAAGGATGGGATCCGGTAATTCCAGGCCTCAGCCCGATATAATCAACCGAAGTTAGAGGTGCAAATCGTTAGATACCAAATTAGTGATCAGAAAGTCATGGGTTTGATCCTTGGTGAAGTTATTGATGAGTACTGATATTGAGTCTCAAATTAGGATGACACAACGATCCGTTAATACCTGGTGGTTAATTTTCATCTAAATAAAATTATCTTGTTCTGTAAAACTTTATGATCAATTTTGTACGCAATTGGATTGAATTGAAAAAATACAATAATTTGTGTAAACAAACACTGAAGTATAAAGCGGTGATTGCGATGATGTTCATACAAGTCGAGAAATACCCGAGTCATAACATTTTATTTAGATAATTATGTCTTAGCTATATTTGCATAAATCAATCTGTATAATTATTTACCAGTTGAGCTAATAATAAAACAAACGGTTGATATGCAGTTGGAAAGATTATCATGAGAAGTGGTCGGCAAAAGAACTTTTAAAATGACTATGTTAACAAGAAGGGAGTGAAATATTCATTTAAGAAAGCTGGGAGACACACGAATTCTACTTACCTTACTATCAAGAAGTATATTTTCAGGTTTTAAATCACTTTTAAATAAGCAAAAAATTGTAAAATAGTTTTCTTTGATATAACCCAATAAAAAAACAATAATGTTTATCAATGAAGTCATACATTTATCAAATGAGTATAGCTCTTATGCACAGTTAGATAAGAGAATATTGACATAGTAACCAACATTTTTCTTCCTATTGATCAACAATATTAAACACAATGGATATAAGCAAATGTTATTCACCAGAAAGACCTCATGCTTATGGTTGGTTTTTGTTGTTTAAACAAAATCCCAATCCTACAAAAGTGAGGTTATCCAACCTTTTTTTCAATGTTCAATAAGTATGTGGTACAAATTCAAGTTGTCAAAAAGTACCCAGAAATTTAGGGAATTTTTTTGCTCATTTCGTGATTAGGTGTTGGAAATTTCATTTCAAGCTTTAAACTGCGTTGATCATCCTAGCATTTCGGTATGTGCTACACGGATGTGTTCATAACAGACAGATGAGGAGAACCTTAGACAGTTGAAATGAAATTCCTAATGAAATTCGTACTCTTATATGTGGCACTCACCGACCAAATCAACGGGGAAATGCCCGAGAATGCTTGATACTATACATTAATTGTGCGTTGAAAGTGGGTGAATAACCTCAAACTCCTTCAACCTTGTTCCTATTTTGTAATTAATCTGTTTATACCATCAATCACAGAGTAGTGGTAAACAACCCTTTAGTTTATATTATTTTTTGATTGAACAATAATACGTAGTTAAGATATTGATTACAATTTTAAAGCAGTTCACTCAGTTTCGATCATAATAAAATATTATCAAAAACATTAACACGGGATTTAAAAATTGCATCATGGACTGACTTCAGTTTGACAACTGCTGAAAATCAATTACAACTAGATAACAAATATATATATTACAAATATATATTTTTATTTATAACAATCAACCCAATGCTCAATTTATTCGAAATTATCAAATCAAACCTTGGTAATGACACCTACAACTAGATAACTGTTTTGCTTCAGTATAGAACTCTTTAGTCCTGTGCATCTACAGCCCTATCGGGGGGTGGATCGAGGATATGGAGTTTAATTGGTTCATTATTATGTTAATGAATAAATGACCAAAAGAAACCACTTGAAATCTTTGAAAATACCAAAATTAATGTTGAAAATTAACTTAAAACAAATCATAAAACTCCTTATTTATCTTTCAACTGTTAATAAAGCTTAACTATGGGAGACGCAGTAATTCTGACTAATTCGACGAGGGAGAAAATAATTTTTCCCACAGTATTGCTCTACGTAAAGAAATACTAGGATGTGGAAAGATTTTGAGGGCCAACTTTTACATCATGTTGTGATATATTCCAGTAGTGTATCTTCCAAAAGTATTAAATGGGACTTTTGACAAATAAATCCCACCTGCAGCTCTTCTAGAGTTACTGCCGATCACAAGCCCAGGAAAAGAAGGAGGGTTGAGCGTGGGATGAAACTAAAGCTAAAGAAACACTGGACAATTGGGGAAACAGCATTGCAAAGGTTCTATACAGCCTTCCTACGAGATACTAACAAACTCAACAGACTCAAGACAAATCTCAACAACAGGTTCCGAGACTTACAGGATCTACTAGAAGAAGAAGACAATACTATGGAGGACAACTGGAAAAGAATCAAAGAAGCACTAATCTCAACGTGTCAGGAGGTTTTGGGTAGCAAGAAGCATCATCATAAGGAATGGATATTTATCGAACCCTGGGCAGGATTCAAGAAAGGAAGAAAAAGAAGACAGCGATTAACAACAGCCAAACACGAGCAGAGAAAGTCACAACACAAGCTGAATACACAGAAACAAACAAGCAAGTTATGAGAAGCATGAGAGCCGACAAGCAGAAATACGTGGAAGATCTAGTGGCGACAGTGGAAAAAGCTGCAAAATAGGTAAATATGAAACAACTATATGACACAACAAAAAAACTAGAAGAAGAATATAGTAAACCAGAGAAACCAGTCAAAGACAAAAGCAAGACAATCACTAAGATTCAAGAGCAGAGGAAAAGATCGACAGAACACTTCGAGGAACTCTTGAATAGGCCAGCCCCACTGAACCCATCGGACATCGAAGACTACAGAAGTAGGCGTCAACATACGCAAAGGAAGAAAATAAGATCCTCAAATACAACACGAAGAACACCAACCCAATCACACTTGATAGGGAAGCTCTGGAACAGGCGGAAACGTTCACGTATATGCACAACATCATCGATGAATGTGGAGGATCTGGTTCTGACGTAAAGGAGAGGATTGGAAAAGCAAGGTCGGCATTCCTACAATTAAAGGACATATGACACTCAGAACAACTGACAACCAAAATCAAAGTCAGAATCTTCAATACAAACGTCACGACAGTTCTACTGTATGGAGCTGAAACTTGAAGAACTAACATGATCATCATCAAAAAAGTACAAGTATTTATAAACAATTGTCTGCTCAACATCCATCGGCCGGATACCATCAGCAACAGCCTACTGTGGGAGAGGACAAACCAGCTTCCAGCTGACGAAGAAATTAGGAAAAAACGTTGAGAGTGGATAGGACGTACATTGAGGAAATCAACAAACTACATCATGAGGCAAACTCCAATTTGGAACCTTGAAGGGAAACGGAAAGGAGAAAGACGAAAACCACACTGCACCGAAAATTGGAAGCAGACATGCAAAGAATGAATAACAACTGGAAAGAACTGCTCAGGATAGAGTTGAATGGAGAGTGCTGGTGGACAGCCTATGTTCCTCCAAGAGGGGTAACAGGCGTAAGTAAGTAAGTATGTTACAAATATAGTTTATATTGTTTTTAAATGGTTAGAAATAAAATGAAAATATTGTAAACTTTAAGGGTCATGTTTGTTCTCACCCTTCAGCATCGTGATGAGAAATTTGCAAGTTTTGGTACGATAAATCTTCAACTCACAGATAACTCCAAGCAAATCTCTTCTTTTTTTTCATGTGTCAAAGAAATCACTTTAAACACTGATAAGTTACATATTAATGGAAAGTGTAATGGAGTCGTATTCATAATTGTGTGTGTAGGTTTTTTTTAAATTTCAAGTGACAGAACAATACAAACAACTTCATAACATGAAAAAATAACAAAATAAATGGAAGGAGTGATTTCGATCAGTTGTTTACATTAAATACATAATTTGTAATAGATATATTCAAAGTATGTTTCAATTATATTATGTGTACGTCATCCACCCTACTACACTATAAACACCATAAATTATATAACAGAATTCAATGACGCTGTTGATGTTGTCATATTTTCATTGTGCCTGAGCATAGCTAAATTTCATGACACGGATTACAGTTGTACGGCTACAAATATAACTGAAATTCCTGTCAACTTTCAACTCGTATACTACATAGTTTACAAGCATTGTACTATAAATTATTATTATATATAGTTGTATATTTGATTTCTCCAAGTATAATAAACCTGTTCAAATTTTAGTCATTCATTTATGGTATTCCTGGTTATCGAATTAGAATACTGTACACAGTACAAAAGTAAATTGTATTTGGTTCACATGATAATTTGATCCGTTAATACTAATAGTAATTAGTTATATGATAAAATGAATATAACCTACCGATAAATTATATTCTCTGAATGTAAATAACCTAAAGCAGAAGCAATTTGTGCTGCATAAAATCGGGTTCGTGTTTCAGTAAATACTCGTTCACGTTGAATATGATAAAATAACTATTAAAAACATGTAAAAAAAGACAATATTTTAGTTTAAGTAGGGAGTAGATTTCTGTTAGAATATTAACCTATGAACACTTTTGTTTTCATTACAGTAACTTGGTAATTAAATCTAAATACGTACATTTTTTACTTTTAAGCATGACTATTTGTGTAACCTTTTATTTCCCACTCTCATTCTTTTGTTTTGACTGAGATCGATGATTAAAGCCAAGAAATTAGTTTTTAATGCGTTGATGCTTAGCTGTAAAATCATATTTAAATATACCTAGTATTTATATTATTTATTAACATTAAGCCTTTAAATTATTACAATGAATGATTTGAATTATCTTGCTGTCAATATTCAAGACGGAATCTTGATGAGTCTTAGTTGGTATGTGGATATGCTGAACGAACTGCCTTCATATATCCATTTTTCAGAAGCTTCATACAGTAGATGGATTTTGGCTAACAGCAGAACTGATGATGTGTGTTTATTCTCACTTAGAAATTACCAACTGGATGTACTTGAATCTTGACGTTAATGTTTGCACTACAAACTTCTTTGATTAACATCAAACACCCAATATCTACATTTCTCAGTTTAACTCAGTAAAAGAACTGCAGGTAAAACATTATCATTTATTCAACATTTGACCTATAATTAGTAACGTCGTATATTTTCAGACAAAAGTAGTATTATTAAAGCGTTATTACACGTCACTGTAGTCTCAGTAATCCATAAGAGAGAAAGATATAATTATGTTGATCAGAATTCACCCAATGTTCCTTTCAATTTACTCATCTTTTTGGCTATCCAATAGATGTAATATTTGTATTTGTGATTACACGACATGAGAATAATATTACAGAAAATATAATTGGTTATGTAAATGAAATTCTCTTTTTTACGTTTGCAAACCGGGAAGCAGTCTTAGAAACCAAAATATGTAAATACGAGCTAAATTTAAATGTAAAAATATATCTTGAAGACTGCTTTGAAGTAAGTTTATGTTCAGTGACCCAACTGAAATATTGTTAAGTAATTAAAAGTGCAACATTTTAAAAGATAACTGAAGAAAAGAATGCAAAAAAACATAGACAGAAGTAAAAATCATCAAAATAAAACCTGACCGTAATAGGCATCGGTACAATTCACCACTCTTCATATCAGCGCAACCCAAGAAAAACACTGAGGAGATTGAAAGAAAACTACAATAATCATACCTGTGTCACCACTAAAGAAAAAATACAAAATGTGATAAATCGTGAACAAACAAAACAAGAAATGGAAAGTGTGGGACAACAATAAGCTTAAGTTTTAAAGCAGGACACAGAGTGGACACATTTCTATGAACCTTGATCAGTGTTGGTACCTACATTTATAGTTTAGTCTGCAAATCCAAATTGGAACGTTGGCAGATTTCAATATTTCTTAGTTCGACAGGCAGTAGCTTAACGAGCTAATCTCATAGCATAGTTTGTCCACCACTCACATTTCGGTAACCTGGGCCCATTCTGACCAGTATTAAGGTTGGCTAGGGTTGGATATGTGTAACATATCCCCCAACTACTTTAGTCAACGACTGTTGATAGCCCCATTAATCGGTTCAAAATGAACGTTTCATCAGACTATTTCAAGGGGTATCCACCAATTCGGGGTCTTCTGGGATAGTTTTTTGAGCATCATCACGTTTCGTTTAAGGTTACTCATATACATCAATTCTGTTTTAAAACAGTTTGAATATTATCTCAAGCTACTATACCGCGAGCATCTTCTTTATGAGTCTCATTTTGTACCAGAGAAAGACCGAATTAAAGAAATGTACTCCAGAATAAGCAATGGCCTTCTCTCAAACTAACAGTGACTCGCTTTATGCTTGATATTGGTGCTTCCTAAGAGCAAACAGTTGTCCAAATTTAGTTAAAATAATTAGTTGCCATCATTTTTCAAACTTTATTGTTTTTTAAATGGATTTAATAATTGGAAAGTATATTATTAACTTATGATCCCGAAGAATTATTCTAATAGCATTAAAGAATTCGTCACAAAATGCCCACAATAAACAAACTATAATATACAATCATCCAACAACAGGAAAACACAACGATGTAGTGTTTGTTGCACGCAAAAATAATGTATTAGTTTGCCTCTCTCAAAATTCTAAACATAAGAGAAAAATAGTAAAATACTGTTGTCATTTCTATTCGACATAATGTTGAAAGTTATAAATAACTGAAACAGTGTATAATGTATAGTGTATATTCACAGTACAAATTAAAAATAAATGAACCAATCGAACTTAATTATTAACTTAGTCTTAATTAAACAACGATTATCATATTTGCATGCATCAGTATTAGGTAATTAAATAATATACATGTATAGTTAGATAATTCATGACTACATTATTAGTTTTTTGAAATATACACGCGAATGAAGATTTAACCTATGTTTAAAATGAAGGCAATCATTATCAGATTGTATTTACATTAATAATAATAATAATAATAATAATAATAATAATAATAATAATAATAGTAATAATAATAATAATAATGTACTTACCTCCCCACCATTGATATAATCCAATACAAAGTATAATTTAGTTGTACTTTGAAATGAAAGGTGTAGTTTACACAAAAATGGATGATTTAAACTTTTAACCAATACATTACGTTCAGACATGACATTATCAACTTCTTTACGCTGTTTAACTGCATCTTTTTTAAGTACTTTTATTGCTAATGCTTGATTTGTTTTACGTGTAACAGCTAAATAAACCTTTAAATATGTATGTTTGTTTTTTCAAACAAAAGAAGATTTATTCAAAAAATTAGACATAGATGTATGAAAATGCCAAATATAGTTTTGATATCATAGTTTTGATGAATATATTATAATAAAAAGTAGTTATTTTTAATCAGTTGAACGATGGACAAGTATAGATATTTAAATAAATACAAGTTAATCCACCAAAAACTCTAAGTAACGTACTGAAAAGATAAAATAATGTAATAACTTGTAGCCTTGGGCATGGGGTTAGCGACCCATCCCGTAGAAAACTAACTCGCTAAAAAAACGCTAACCAGAAAAAATTATTCGAACCTTTTAAACTCTTCCCTGGGAATCAGAAGGTCTTCATTTAGAAGAACTATGACGCCTCATGATAAAAGCCGAGTTCCTTCGGAAGTGACGAGGCCGATGCCCCTTCTGACAACCAAAGCAACCACTTATTTAGGTACATGGAATACTTGTACAATGTGGGAGACCGGGAGAGCCTTCCAAATTGCTGCAGAAATGAGAAGATACAACCTAGAGGTGCTTTGCATCAGTGAAACACATTGGACGCACGTTGTACAACAACGACTAGCTTCAGGAGAGCTTCTGTTATACTCCAGCCATGAAGAAAATGCTCCATATCCACAAGGAGTTGCATTGATCCTATCCAAACAAGCGCAAAATGCACTTATAGGATGGGAATCTCATGAACCAAGGATCATCAAAGCCTCCTTCAAAACAAAGAAAGAGGGCATTTCAATGAACATCATCCAATGCTATGCGCCTACCAACGACTACAATGAAGACGCTAAAGATCAATTCTACGATAGGCTGCATTCAATCATCGAGAAGTGCCCAACAAAGGACCTGACCATTCTGATGGGAGATTTAAATGCCAAGGTTGGAATGAACAACACCGGATATGAAGACATCATGGGACGACATGGTCTAGGAGAAAGGAACGAAAATGGCGGGAGATTTGCAAACCTATATGCCTTCAATAAACTGGTCATAGGCGGCACTATATTCCCACATAAACGCATACACAAAGCCATATGATCTTCACTGGGTCACACTACACAGAACCAAATCAACCATATCTGCATCAATAAAAAGTTCAGGAAAACAATGGAGGATGTGAGAACCAAGAGAAAGGCTGATACAGAATTAGATTATCACTTTCTGGTCGCCAAGATGAAATTGAAACTCAAGAAGTACTGGACAACCGGGCGGACAACATTACAAAAGTTTAATACGGCCTTTCCTTTGGGATACTGACAAACTCAACAAATTCAAGATAGTCCTCAGCAATAGGTTCCAGACCTTTCACGATCTATTCAGTAGAGAGGGAACTACTGTAGAAAGCAACTGGAAGGGGATCAAAGAGGCAATCACTTCAACATGTCATGCGGTCCTGGGCCACATGAAGTACCATCACAAGGAATGGATCACTGTTGATACACTGGATAAGATTCAAGAAAGAAAGAACAAGAAGGCAGCGATCAATACCAGCCGAACAAGAGCAGAAAAAGCCAAGGCACAAGCTGAATACACGGAAGTAAACAAGTAGGTGAAGAGGAGCTTCATAACCGACAAACGTGATTATGTGGAAGATTTAGCAATGACGGTGGAAAAGGCTGCAAGAGAAGGAAACATAAGACAACTGTATGACACGACACAGAAACTTTCTGGAAATCGCCGCAAACCAGAACGACCAGTGAAAAGCAAGGAAGGCGAGGTAATCACCAACATTGAAGAGCAACAAAACAGGTGGGTAGAACACTTCAATGAACTATTGAATCGACCAGCCCCACTGAACCCATACAACATCGAAGCAGCATCCACGGACCTCCAAATCAATGTTGGCCCACCAACAATTGAAGAAATCAGCATGGCCATCAGACAAATCAAGAGTGGCAAAGCAGCAGGACCAGACAACAATCCAGCAGAGGCACTAAAGGCAGACGTAGCGACAACTGCAAGGATACTCCACATTCTCTTCAATAAGATTTGTGATGAGGAACAAGTACCAAAAGACTGGAAAGAAGGACTTCTGATCAAAATACCGAAGAAAGGCGATCTCAGCAAGTGTGATAACTACAGGGGCATCACTCTTCTCTTAATACCGGGAAAAGTCTTCAACAGGGTATTGTTAAACAGGATGAAGGACTGCGTAGACCCCCAACTTTGTGACCAACAGGCAGGATTCCGTAAGGACAGATCGCGTACAGACCAAATCGCAACTCTACGGATCATTGTGGAACAATCAATTGAATGGAATTCATCACTCTACATCAACTTCATTGACTACCAAAAGGTATTTGATAGCGTGGACAGAACAACACTATGGAAACTTCTTCGACACTACGGCGTGCCTCAGAAGATAGTCAATATCATACTAAATTCATATGATGGATTAAACTTCAAAATCGTGCATGGAGGACAGTTGACAAAGTCGTTCGAAGTAAAGACCGGTGCCAGGCAAGGTCTCTTTCTCTTTCTCCGGGTGATCGACTGGATGATGAAGACGTCAACGTCTGAAGGGAAGCACGGGATACAGTGGACATCCAGGGTGCAGTTGGACGATCTAGACTTCGCAGATGATCTGGCCCTCCTATCGCAATCGCAACAACAAATGCAGGAGAAGACGACCAGTGTAGCAGCAGCCTCAGCAGCAGTAGAGAAGCAAGATTCTCCAATACAACACAGAATGCACCAATCCAATCACAATTGACGGAGAAGATTTGGAAGATGTAAAAACCTTTACGTATTTGGGCAGCATCATTGATGAACATGGTGGGTCTGATGCAGATGTGAAAGCGCGGATCGGCAAAGCAACTGAGGAACATCTGGAACTCAAAGCAACTGTCAACAAACACCAAGGTCAGGATTTCCAATACAAATGTCAACACAGTTCTACTGTATGGGGCAGAAACCTGGAGAACTACGAAAACCATCATCCAGAAAACACAGGTGTTTATTAAAAATTGTCTACGCAAAATACTTCAGATCCATTGGCCGGACACTATTAGCAACAACCTACTGTGGGAGAGAACAAACCATATCCCAGCGGAGGAAGAAATCAGGAAGAAGCGCTGGGAGTGGATAGGACACACATTGAGGAAAGCACCTGACTGCGTCACAAGACAAGCCCTCACATGGAATCCTCAAGGCCAAAGGAAAAGTGGAAGACCAAAGAACACATTACGCCGGGAAATGGAAATAGACATGAGAAAAATGAACAAGAATTGGATGGAACTAGAAAAGAAGGCCCAGGACAGAGTGGGTTGGAGAATGCTGGTCGGCCGCCTATGCTCCATTAAAAGTAACAGGCGTAAGTAAGCAAGTCGTGCTCTAATAATATATATCGTAGAGGTACCACCAATTAGAGTACAGTGACGTAACGACCGGACCAATGACACATAAAACCCGTACAAGCAGTCTACAGTCCTTACCGGTTCTACTTCCTGCCCAGCCCTGCCTTTGAGTCTAGAACACAGATCTCGGTCTTTGCGATATGAATCACATATTTAAAACATACTGAGTTTATATAAAAACTAAAATAGAAAACAATACTTGTACAAGATCTAGCCACAAGTGGCTGTAATTAATAGACTGGGCGTAATTCGAGAACAGTAAATCGTAAAATAATAGTCTGTAGGTGAAAATAAAGCATATAATAATAATATGAATATAGACAGTCTAGTCACCTGACAATTATACAGTAAGAATACATGTGTAATATTAGTCCATAAGTAGATCCCAACAGTTACATACATTATTCTAGACGGTATATAACAAATAAAGCCAGAACGAACATGGATGTTGAATAATATGAATTCATTGTATTTCGTGGTTTCTCATCAGCTGCTTGCAACCAAATATGTGTTTACATTTACATTGAGGTAGGGTATAATGTGAAACAATTGACATAAGTGAATGAAAAGAACTGGAATGGCAAGGGTTATCAATAATAACTAATTATATATATATATATATGATGTAGTAATTAAGTGAGGTTCAGAAACATTGTGTGTGATAATTTTAGAGGTAATGAAGGGTTTGTACAAGATTTCTGGTAAGATGACCCAAAAATTGGATAACCAAGGTAGTAATAGGTTTATTACTGTATCTTTTTGAATATATGGATCAGATCTGAGTTTTTTATCGCAATCACTTCAGCAAACTGAAGAGAACCTGTATTTCTTTGCCTGCTAATAATTTCGAAAGCTTGATGAATGTCAATGGTATGCCCACTGCCAAGATATTGCACTGCTGAGGGCCCTTGACCCTCGCAGTCTCAATTTCTTTGGAACATGCTTGGAAATGAGAATATGTACTCTTCTCTCGGTTCTTTCAATGTATGTGCTTTGGTACGTACATGTAAATTGGTAAATTCACTTGGAGCTACTGAGAAAAGAGGACACCTAAATTTTAGTTTGTTTGAGCGAGCTGTTCGTTTCCCATAGTATCGTCAGTTTTGCTGACGGACAAGTCACCTTTAACGCGGAATTTATCCTGTGATTAATGACTCCAATGATTTCATCCCGTTCGAAACGCAAGTATAAGAAGCAGGGTTTTTTTTACTGTATCGTGTTTAGCCCAAGGGTTGGTTTGGGAAAATTTCTGAATGAACTTAGCCGGATATTCATTTTCACGTGAGTAATTTGTAATGAGAGCAATTTCATCTTCCAAGCATTCCGTTGAGCAAAGTTTGCGTGCGCGGTCAACAAAGGTTCATGCAATACCCTTTTCTTAACTCACTGGACAGAAACTGTTGTAACTGAGATAAACTCCACTCCAGGTATTTTCGCGATGAATGTGTCTTTTTAGTGTGCCATCTGAAGTTCGGCTGAGTCCAATATCTAAGAAATGTAATTTACCTTATACTTCGTGTTTCATATCCTTGTGTGCCTTGTTAAACAGATTGAGTAGGTTCATGATTGTTGCAGAAGAGAAATGTGCTATCAATATATCTATAGTAGAGTGTAGTTCCATGGATTGTATGCTTGAGCTTCCTCTGTTTCAGGTTTCCCATAAATATATTGGCCAGAATTGAACCCAAAGGGCTACCCATGGCCACTCCATCAATTTGGCAGTACAACACATTGTTAAATCGAGATTGTTTGTTTTTGGTACACAGAAACATGAGCTGTTTGAATTCGCAGATTGATGAAGGTAAAAGTTCAGGATATTCACATATGATATTTGCTGTTTCTTCCAAAAGGATGTTTGTGAAGAGTGATGAGAAATCAAATGAGACCATGAATTTGTCGGGAGCATTTAGGCTATCAAGCTTTTGTACACATTTAAAAATATCCTTCACACTGTAGGGCGCTAACTTCTTACGGATCGGTTCTAAGCACCTCTAAAATTATCATACACAATGTTTCTAAACCTCACTTAATTACTACATCATATATATATATAATCAGTTATTATTGATAACCCTTGCCATTCCAGTTCTTTTCATTCACTTATGTCAATTGTTTCACATTATACCCTACCTCAATGTAAATGTAAACACATATTTAGTTGCAAGCAGCTGATGAGAAACCACGAAATACAATGAATTCATATTATTCAACATCCGTGTTCGTTCTTGCTTTATTTAAATTCAATAAGGGAACTAATTGCATTTATTGAATAATCTATACATTTAAACCATATCGCTAATATTACTTTTTTATTTGTATTGGTTATTCTCATCTTTCCACTGATGTTCAGAATCGCAATTGATCACTGTCCTAGGGTATATGTGTATTCAGTTTGGATTGTCTTGATATTGCATTAAGTCACAAGTATTGTTAGCAGGGATTGATAATGGCTGGCAGTCTTATGTAAACTGTTGGATTTTTAACTTACATTATGAAGTGACTTTTCTAAAAGCTTTATTCAACCTAGGAAGTACTGGACGGCTATTTTGTTCTAATATGGAGTTCCCAAGGAGTGAGAACATGAAATCCAACGGGAACAGGTCGCAGCAAAGCAAATGCAAATAAATTATGTCTTCGTGAATTATATTTTCCATGATTAATGTTTTCTACTACTACTTCTACTAAACAAATGTTTGTCTTTATAATTTCGTCCTGCTGTGCTGAATTTGTGTAACAGCTTGAACTTAAGCTAATATTTTATAGGTTTTGCGTTTCTTTTGACCGAACAACCAACTGACTAAATGAACAGCATTATGATTCATATCTGCCATTTAATTCATTGAAGAACATCGACCATGATTAACTTTCCTACAACTTGACCATCTTCACAGATTATGGTTTTTTAATTTTGTTTATTGTTTTGTTTTATTTTGCAACTAGTTCTAAGATATAAATGAAGATGCTCCCTATTTCAGATTGCTATATGTATTCCTGCAAGATAAAATGCTTTAACTATCCAGATGGAGTGAAATCTGTTATCATGAATTATCAATATTGTTTATCGACATACTTGAAAATAATGCATACTGAAACAATATCATTGAAATTGATAGCCTTAATGAATCTAATAATGAACAGAGTTTAAGAGCATTGATGTACGATATTCAATATTAACAACAACTGGCAATGGTAACAATAGCATACATCAGAGGTCATTATCATAATGCCTGCCGTGATGGCGTTAGCAACATAATCGAACACAAGAGAAATAAGCAGTGTTTGTTGACGAGTGTAAAACATGAGACGCTAGTCTACAGGTAGAAATATATGGCACACGGGTGTTATCTTATCGCGCACACAAAACTACTGATTACCGATGGATATCGTTACCAGATAGAGTGTAGTGTAGCGTAAATGTAACTTTAGTTAAACAAGTTATATTTGGTGCTTTACTTTTGAGTAACTAATTTAATCAAAACAGAACGTAGAGAAGTTAAATTCTATGCAAACTGACTCATCCAAGATGAATAACAAAAAATCATTTATTTCAGGTTTTATATCATACCTTTCCGAAATTTCCTTCACCAATAGTTTTCACAATTTCGAAGTCATCCAATGATGCTCTTTACGATAAGAAACATTTGTTGAAAAACCTACTTTTTATCTTCTGTTGGCCCAAGATCAATTAAATCCTATAAACGGTAGAATAAAAGTGAATCAAACATTATATATTCATAGAGAAAGAACTCATTACTTACTGTGTCTTGAGATGACGTTAAATTAGATAGTTTTTTGTCTTTATGAAGATCAAGAAATAGTCGTACATCTTCGCTTTTGATGAAAGAAAAGTAAGTTAATTTAATAGAGGAATACAAATACTTTATCTTACTTCTTAATCAACAACTCAGTGGATACAAGTTTTTTAACAAATTTATACAAACCTTTACGTCGATTTGTAAAGACGCCTAGCAGGTTATTTCCTGGCAATTGTAACCCTGTACAATCTTCTGATTCCCTCAACTTTACGCGTTAATGATTTTTTTCAAAGGTAAAAAGTTACTCACTTTCGTATAGATTGCATGAAATTCTGTATAATGACGGGTTACAGACCATTCTTGATTGTTTGATTTTAAATGTATAATAAATTTCTGAAAAGTGAAATGAGATATTAACGATTATTAACCATTTGTACCAAGTTAACTAATGATTGCTTCGTATCTAATTGATCCATTCGCAGAAAGAAACTCAAGCGGATGAATTAGATAATAAGGTTAGACTGTTGCTCGTATTTAAAAAATACAAACACGTCAGTATATTTACAAGTTATTTATCAGGCAATGCCTATAGACTTAGATGACTGATTGTTATACGAAAGGAGTAAATACCTCAAAGAAATAACTTTAAATTATTCACTTGTTTACCAGGTGACACAAACTTACCAAATCTTTCATCGACAGTCATTTGTTGAATTATTAAAATTTTTACTACAGATAGTCAGCCACAAAAAAATTATAATTTTTATTCCCCTACTAACTATTCGATGAATAAATGATGAACAGAATTGCCATAAATAATCAATAATAAAATATTTTAGGTCTGACTCGTAAAGCGAATTTTGCTAAGTTTCGTTCTCAATAAGACTGTTAAAATGACGTTCATCTCAGTGAGATGGTGGAAGGCAATTCTAAATTTAAATTAATGCCCCCCCCCGAATACAAATAGTAACCCGGACAAGATTCAGATAAGTGCAATCAAAATTAAGGCCCAATCTCTCCGCTTTCAACAGAAGCTTTATATCGGCCGAATACGTTAACATGATTGTGGCATTTAACTTCGTCAGTTAATAAGTTCAAACCTTATTCCTCTCAATGAAAGCTATCATTTTGCGTTTGAATTGTTGTAACCGTACTACCACCAGCCAACAATTTCCATTATGATCGTCACATTTAAAATTTGTAGTCCTTTTTTGATGGCAAATCAGCGTACCGCCAAATTCTCAAAGGGTTCACCATTTTACCGAAGATCTTTTCAAAATACATATGCGATTGGGTTTAGTCAAGCGAGGCTGTTGAATATATATATATATATAGGGATTTCGACACTCTACCCCCTAAATGTCCGGGTACGACCAAGGGTGAGGAGAGTCCGCTATTACTCTCGAAATGCTTCCACATGGCCACGCGTATACAGCCACTGCCAGCGAAGTCCTACTCACTGCCTTCTCGAGACGGGAGTGTTGTTTACGAAAAGACAAAATGCGCCTTAACAGAGTTGGTGGACATGGAGAGTCCACCTAGGGAAGTTGGAGATGGTGCATAAAGGTTCCGGTATCCCAAGAGAACAAATTGTGTGTGAACCAATTATTTTCACCGGTTATCACGGGACTACATCTCCTGACGCTGCTCTACAGCCTTGTGGATCAGACCTTTAGGTCGAATGCCCTGGGTGTGGCCCCCCACGAAACTCACCTGCTTCAATCTGAGCACTCGTGCAGTGTCATATCACACACAGACAAATCAAATGACTTGTGTGACTCATGTGTATTCACACCCCTTTGTACTAATATTTATGTGTTCAATAAATAAATAATACTCTGCCATTCAGAAGTATGGTTAATTACATTAATATATATTTTTAGGGTAAAAAGTAAACGCGTTTCAGTACCTCAAACCTTAAAATCCGCAGCATAATGTTTGATAACTTATTATTTTACTCGGTGACGCAGTATGTTACTGAAACGGCGTGGATATGGTTGGGTTTACAACACATAACTGCCAACTTCTGTAAATTATCAGCTCTTAGAACTGTTAGCTTGCCACATATTTGATTTTATAATCACTAAAGCCTTTAAGTTGTTTCACACTATACTAATTACCTATGAATGCTGAAGAACATATATGTGGTCAGAAATCTAATTCCTCTTACGTCATCTTCCTAGTTGTCCTGCAAACCTGTGTAGGATATACCAAACTTCTACATCTGTAAAAACTCTAAACCAAAAAGTACCGGAGCAATTCTTGCTCTGCGTAATGGTACACTAGCTTACATTTGTTTTGCACTAGAATGATTGGTTCGAGTTTAAAGATTGGAGCTGTTTACTTTTCAATTCTAACAGAATAAGGTCAGTTTTGTAATGGACAATTAGGAAAAATGACTGTAATGTCACATTGAAATGATCACTTTAAAGTCTCTACACTTCCCCATGATATCAAAACAAACTAAAAGTGAGCGTATAGGCATAAAAAATAAAGAATAATTAAAACATTAGCAGATACGTAGCTAGCAAATATCGATCAAACGTCCGATGTAAAAAACCCAAGATAATAAGGAAAGGATCAATACCAAAGGTTTTAATAAAATAAAAGGTCAATACAAAAGTTATTTCATCATCCCTGATATTTTTAACGAAAGTGGTATTGATACAAAACACAGTTTGGATAGCAAAATGTTGCAAAGCATCATGGAAATTATCGTGTGAGAAATAGAGAAATGATGTACATAGTTTTAAGTAAGGAGTGCAATTTGTTGTTTGAAATTACCTACAGTTGCCTTTTTCCGTGAACAACTAATCCATAGACTCGACTTTTCCTCTTTCTTCAAACAATGGCACTGTCTTGACAAATACAGTACATTTTGAAAATATTTGAATATCTTTATTTAGTCAGCTAGTAATACTAAAAGTTTTTTCACTAGTAAATATGATAAAGTAGTAAACAATCAGTAACTAAGGTAACCATACAAGTCCACTAGCTACTTTGGTATATTTTACTGGCTGAAGAATAACTAAAAGAAAAACTAAGCGGTATTTTGTCAAGAAATGGTGTTTGCTCATTGAACCAATCCTATTTAAAGACTTCTTAGAATACTTAGCTTCTCGGCAAAAGCCGTCAGAAGTCTAGAATCTGGTGGTTATAAGTTTGTGGTGATATAAGATGAGATAGATATACGCTGTCTCTCCATTTAACTACTCAGACTCTATTCATATCTAAGTTATTCATTCACCCTTCATTCGTATCTCTCTTAATAACTTGAATAGCCTGGCATTCTTTTTTAAACTCCTCCCTAAACTAATGAAATTCTTTGTAATCAAGCATAAATGTTTGATTGAATTCAGTCACTTGCAGTTTGTAATCTTCACAACACATCACATTGTTTTGTTTATTTCCAATATTTTCAACAGCTCGTATACCCAACAGGCATTAAACTTACCGTGTTTCGCTTTCCATGAATTAATGTAGCGTGGTCTGAAATCCCAACAACAGAAACTGACATGATAACCAAAATGTGCGGTGTTTTCACTACTTTGAAGGTCAACAAGATTGGATGGCTGGTATAAACTAGCAATTTTTTACTCTTGAGTCTTCATTTTATGGAGCGCTTCTAAAAGAAGAAATAGAGTACCTCAAATGCGAATTTATCGTCATACAGTTTGAAGACTGTCAAGTCCTCTTTTGTCGTATTATAAGAAGAATAGACTTATACAGCTAATCTCTTGTCAAGTGAAATCTCTGAGATCCTAAGAACCGAATTATATCCAGTTTTTGGAAAGCCTACGAAGCGTTTGTATAATATAGTAATTGTTTTGTAAATACCTAATCTCAGAAATCTAAAATTCATTTAATACGTTGAAGTGAAATTGTAGTGGCATTTGACCATAACCACACAAGACTACTCAGAAAATAGATATTCAATATTTAACACGGAGAAATACCTAACCATGGGAAAGGCGCGGAGAATGAGTTGAATTGACTGGAGTTGATCGAGTGGCATGGCTCGACCATGCAGGCGTGGTCTCTGCTGAATGTTACCTTATATCTTCTATTCATATTAAATATATTATTCTTTCTCTAGCCTAACCTTGTTCTACATCATGTATTGGTAATTGATACGATACAGTCAGTTGGTGTAGTCGATGGTGTGACTTCCACGTAAGATCTTATAGATTAGGCAGTTATATCATGACAAATCTACAAATTTAGGATTAGGTCTATTATTAGAGCAGTACTAATATCATAGTAGACCATAGTTCTACAAATTCACCGTGTTCTCTATCATCATCCTTGATCCAGTGACAAGTGAAGTTTGTGCTAGTTAGGTCTTGAAATAAACTCTTTTCATAATACACTCCATATCACTATGTCGTAACATTTTACCCTTCCAAAAGCTCTTTGATGGCCCGTCGATCTGACTTCATTTAGATCGTACGAATGTTTGTTATCACCTATCCTCGTATACAATCATCGACTTAAATCACGTTAGTCAATAACGGAATTTAGATAAGTCAATTAACGAGAATGGCCTTCGAATACATATATTTTGCATGTAAAGTGAATATAATAGAACAAAGCAAAATGCCGCGCAGTGGAGATGGCTGGTAAGCCAACTCATTCTTAGCCAGGCGTTACTCAATATTTATAGGCAGACAAAATAAACTACAGTCATGTGATGAGACATGGGATATGAAGTGTACACACGTATACGCTCATATAAAAACAGTCAAGACTGATAAGCAAATAATTAACAAGGTCAAAATATGACTCGAGTAAAATGAATAGATTGGGCTGTCCGAAATTTAGAATAAAGTATGTGGGCTTAACACAATAACTGACACTACAGCTCTTAGTTTACTTTAAAATGGTAGCTAGCTGATTGTATGCAATGTTCTTGTTATGGTTGAAAAAGTATTATCAAGTAAGACATAAATATCATAAGATTAATGAGCATGGAGGCCTTGTAGTGACTCACATTCATCACGAGAACACGACTGGTTTAATAAAAACAATTATTATTATAACCAACTGCACCAGTGTTTGCTTTAATGTGCTTTTGTTTGACTGTGCTAATGACAGCTATTTTGTGCTTCCATTCTTTTACTTACACTTTGATTGTAACTTCGCGCGAATTCGGTCACGTTCTGTAACCAAGGTTGTATCCTGGCACGATCTCGGTATCCTTTCGATGCCACGAGATCGCCAGCGAATATATCTCGATTTGATCCATTAACTGTCTTCTGATATTTGTCTTCTCGGGGATTTTATGGATTTATTTGGTTACGTTCAACCTTCGCCTTCTGATTAACTTGACATGTGTTTCTTGGTAGCGGTGTTCATAGTTAATCTCAACTCGACGCCACGCTACAGCCTTATAG